GGTTTAAAAAAACAACAACATATGGTTCAGAACGGATTAACCGTATTTACATTGAACCTTAGGGGGAAATTTGATTCGGGTCGCGACGCGAATTAAGTTCGTGAACCGAGGGACCACTGTATTATTATTAGATGTATATCCCGCTTTTATTTTGTTGAACTCAAGGCAGCATATATAATGCTCCCACCCCAACAACATTTTCCTCACGACAGCAAGCCGGTGAGGTAGGCCGTAGGAACTTCCATTTGGCAGAGGCAGCGCGTGGATCTCTGCGCAGGTGTGTCTGTCAAAAAATCGAGGGGGCAGCCACGCCTCCCATGGAAGCCACACCCCTCTGTGTGCATTGGTGCACCTGAAAAGGGGCAGGGCTTTGTTCGTGCGGTTGTGGCTACATCTTGACTTTTTTGCGCCCCACCCCGTGGATGCCCCTGGCAACTAGGCCTCTGTGGATACCAGATCTGAAGGCAAACAAAGGCCTTGCTTAAGGCTGCCTCAAGACCTACTGAAAATAGGGTGCTTTTGGAAAAGGTTGGAAATAGAATCCAGGACTGGACGGATGTTTTTTGGTTCGACAAGGCTGTTGCGTAATCTGTTGATTCCATTCCGCTCCATTCGTCCCCACCCCACCCCAAATATAGCAGGCCAGCTCAGCAAAACGGCGCTCTGCAATAATAGTTTCTTTCTCTAGGCAACTACAACATGGGGGGTTCCCCAGCTTCTGCTGTCCAGCTTATGAAGGAGTTGCTTAACACTGGGAGACCTTCCCCAAACTCTCATGATGATTATTTGGGTAAGATCATGATGGATCCCTGGGCAGCTCCGTTTCGCCTTGTTTGCATTTCACCGCAGTGACTCAAGCCGCAGCCCCTGGGGGCCGTGATTATTTTCTTTTATTAATGTGAATTTGCCTTACTGTGATCATTTTGAAGGGAAAAGGTATGTAAATAATTGTATCAGTATTCTTTCTTGATAATACTTATATTTTCTATATCCTTTTAAATACAGATTTGAAAGGATATAGAAATATGGTTAAAAAGGGAGAAAGAGAAAAAAAACTCTTCCAGTAAAATATAGGTGGATAACTTACTAGCCTTGAATAACCAGCTGATCTGAAGTATCCTGTGGCTAATATAGTCTAATACACCATTAATGACTTAGAGTAATATAGACATTTCAGGCCTCCATTAAATTGTAAAAATATTCATTAGTCTGATTAAAATCAATAAGAAAAAGAAAAACTATAAAGAATAAAGAATACATTGAAAAGTTACTATAAATAATATGTAGATTATATATCTGATTAAAATATGAACTCTAGAACCCGCATTTGGGATGTGGTACAATGTTATTGTCCAGTCTCTGGATCATAGAGCATTTTAAATCTTCTTCTCCTCCACAATTTTAATTGTGGATTTGAACTGATGAAAATCTCTTCTTTGGGGAGTTACTTTATTGGAAAGAGATAAAACCATGTACAGAAAACTCTAAAGTAGAGTCTCTGATTCATGGAACAAATGTTGCACACCAGCTGTCTGGTGATAATATTTCTTTATTTCTTTATCAAATTTGTCACCGCCCATCTCGTCGAAATGACTCTGGGCAGTTTACAGCAGAGATGAAATCAATTAAAATACACTATAAAATATAATGTGTATGTTCATCCACAAGGAATTCAGTGGACTTTTTTTCTTGCTCAGTGGTGGATGTATAGAACATAGGGAATGGCCTTGAAGGACCGGAGGAAGAGCCGCTACCAAGGCAATGGTCAGATAAGTTAAGAGGGGCTTGACCCGGGCCAAGAAAATAATTGGAAAAAACGTCCCTAGTTCACACAAATATAAAATGAGGGAGAGGGAAGCACATTCAGACTTGCAAGATTTTATTACTATAGCTGTTATAATAAAGGTAATCCTGATCTACATGGCATGGGTTTCTTAGTCTGGTGTATCTTATAGGGTTGACAGTGGCAAACTGGTTCCAGGTAAGTGTAAGGGGCCATATGCCAGCAACAAACAGGTCTATAACCCAGATTGGATGAGAACCTCCCCACTGATGAGGATGTCTTATGAATTGCATTAAGCCCATCATCAGGAGATGACTCATGACCAGTTTTAATTAAACAAGGCTATAGGATGTGAAATATTTGTACCAGAAATTCCCCTGGAAGCCGTGGTAGTAAATTCCCCTGCAAAAGAATCTGTGACGAGATCTGGCATTAATAACTGTATGACATTATCCTTCCTGGAAATCCAGAAAAAGGGAATGACAGCTAATCATCATGGTTGTATGGAATCTTTAAGTTCAGAAGCTATCAACCACTATGTCTGCCTCTCATCTGCTGTTATTGGGCTTCCTAGATGCTGCTTCAAGTCTATCTGCAGAATCCGTGGTTTCATCAAAACAACACAATGAGCTTTGTGATGCTGTGATCCTTACATACTTGTGTGCAACATCGTGACCTTCATTTTCTCCTTTCCTCCCCTTGTCCCCTCTGTGGATGCTAATGGCTGGCTGGTAGGCCACCACAGGACACCAGCAAACCTCCTTCAGCAAAGCTTTTGGACGTGTTGTCTGAAAGCATTTTCCTGCAATGCAGTGATGATGACTTACTGTGTAGCAGCTGCCTGGTTTCACTCTGGCACCATGGTATTTCTCTCCTTAACTTATCTTTCTGTCCACATTTGCATCTAGATATTTATGTCTTTGGTCACGGCCACATCGTCAACACAGAAACTATTAATGAGTTGGCTTCTCACAAACCCAATGAGAGACACAGCTTCATTTTGAAGGACTTGGATGAGCTACAAGAGGCCTTGGAGGAAAAAATGGGTAATTTGAACTTTCATTTCACTGATTTCATGACTTATCTACTTGGCCCTGACACTCAACATTTTCTTTTCCAGAAAAGGAGGGAGTTAGAAGTTTCCATCTCCTCTTCCCCATTTTTATTTTTTTTTCCTTTTTGATCCTCAAGCAGATTCTCTCTCAGGAATGTATTCCCTTATGAAGTTTTCTATTGAACACTGTGGTGAAGAATTGAGGGACACATCTAGGATAGACATTTGCATTTATAGATAGCACTGACCAGGCCTCTGGACTTGGAGATAATCCCACAGTTCCCAAGCTGTGGGTCGCGCTGCCCCAGAGTGCCCCAGTGAATTCACAAGGGTGCTGCGGGATATTTTAGTACTTATGAAATTGAACTTGCTGTGGCTCCCTCAGGTGCTGCAGTGCAGAGTTTGGGAACTGCTAGAGATGCCATGAACTGAGAAAGTTTGAGAACTTCTGGGATAAACCGTTTGCCTTGAATACGCATGTATTCATTCATTCATTCATTCATTCATTCATTCATTCATTCATTCATGCAATTTATTTAGCCACTCATCTCACATATGTCACTCATACCTTTTAACTAAAACATCAAGTAATCAATCAACTTTCCCACATGTATACATTACTCAGGGACCTGCTGTAGAGGAAAAATCTGGTCTGCCCATCCCTTGCCCAGCCTACAGCTGCACTACACATCCCAGTTTTTACTTACTGTCTCCTCTCATCCACTCCCATCAAAATTCTGCCAAACACCTTCCAGACACACTTAATGCTTAATCTCCCTTTAGTGGTTGCATTCATTCTTACTGCTATTCCAGGTACAGGGGAAGAGTAATGACATTCTTCTCATCAACAGGCAATTGTCACACACACAGGAAACAAGTCACACAGCCCTGCCACCAGCAAATGACAGCCATATTTTAACATTTCTCCACTTATACCCTCCACGCCAGAACGACAATAGGTCATGTGGCTTTAAAGCAAAATGAAAGAATTGAGCGGCATCAGCGGAGAAAGGATAGAAATCTGAGATCAGCAAACTTTTCAGTATATGGGTGCCATCCTGCAACTTTGCATGGCATCATAGACTAATAGTAATCATTTTCCATGCCTCGGATATCACTAGATCTCATGCATTTTCACCTGAAGTCTCAGGAGAACACTGAGATCTTATGAGATTTGGCAATCTCAAGAGAATTTGGCAACTTTTATACTTTTTCAATGTAAATGTTTAACTTGGGGGTTCGGTAGGTACCATCTTGAGGTTTTGAGGATGTGTGGTCATCCATCCATGGGCACCATGTTGCCAATCCCGGTTATAAAGCCTTCTGTGGTTGAGGAATAAAAGTGTGGGGGGGCCAGTATAGGAACTGTCCATCCACTTTGCTCTGTTTCCATCTTCCTCCTCCCAGGGAATCCTGAGGCTGTGGATGTCATTTGTTTCCAACTTTACGTACTGTCCTTTCTAGGAATCCAGAAGTCCCACCTATCTGTCTCCCTTCCAGTCTGCTCATCTCCTCCTGCTTTTTTCTAGGAAGTTCTACCTTCCAAAAATATGTCTTTCTATTCCCAGGTGAAGATGAGTCTTTGCCCATATGTGGTTTCTCCCTGGGACCAGAAGCAGAAGATGACATTCAGAAGTACCCCTGGTTTGCCAGAGTCGCCATTAATGTAAGACCAAGTAGAACCAGGATAGATATGTTTTTTATGGGCATAAGGCCAGCACAAAAACCACTTATGAAAATCGAGCCAATCCAGTAAAAATAACTTGAGCTGCAAAACCTGACCAGACAAAACCTAAAACCAGAAATCATTAAAAGAGGCCAATGACATAAAAGGGGTGTCTACAAAGCCTACAGTAAGGAAAAAGATAAAATTATAGAATATGAAAAGGCAGCTATCTAGCTGAAACAAATTGGACAAATCAGAAGATTAATCAGGTTATTCATTCATTCATTCATTCATTCATTCATTCATTCATTCATTCATTCATTCATTCATTCATTCATTCTTGAACTTATATACTGCCCATCTCTCCCAGAGGGTGACTCTGGGCGGCTTATCATTGAAAAAAGGCTATATTAGGCAAAAAGAGAAAATACAAAAATAAATAATAACAAGTAGCAGATGAAACAGTAAAAGCAAAATTACAATTAACATGAAAGCTGTGAAAATCCACATTTGAAATGTTGAGAGCACATACAGGATACACTCAAAAAATGGGTGACAGGTGAGGCTTGCTTGTTGAT